TGCAATTTTTATCATATAAAACACAGAAATACAAATAACAACAATTGTCAATTTATCAACATATTAAAATCTCACAAACGTAATTGTTACTTAACAATAAAACATAAGCATTTGATCGTATTGTACATAATAGAAATGAATTTTTATAAGTGATCACCTACAATCAAACTTTCAAAGATACCTAGTCAGTAAATAAAAATCCTCTATTGAACTATTCTAACACATGTGCTTCATGAAGCTATGAACTCTTCAAATGTTAGTTAATCTCATATTCAGTTCAACGGATTTAATAACTGCTAAGCTAATGCAGTCTAAATGTCAAATTCTAAAAATTTAGTCCTCCATAAAGTGACATGCTAATAATTCATAAATATATAAACAAAATTAAATTAAAAAAATGTTATGGAGTTTTTAAGTTTAAAAAAATAGTGGCAAAATAATTTTCGTTAAGGCTTCTTCTCCTCAAACTTCTCTTCGATATTTTTTATTTATAACTTTTTTCCATTTTATTTTATTTTCTTTCTTTCTATAGGATGAATATTATCAATCCTATTTTTTTTAGATAGTCCCTGCTATCAATCTTATATCTCGATTAGTCTTTTAATGTTTTTGAATTTTATTACAATCCCCTTAAGCTAAAATAATACAACATCTTTTAATTCAAAATTTATAAGTTATAAATTATTAACATAGAATTCAAATGAGATGGAGGCTAAATTTTCAAAAAGATACACATCTAGCTACAATTTACTGACCAATTAACCAAATCTTCTTAAAAATTAAATAGGATGATTAAATAATCATTTGTTGAATTTTAAAGATCATTCTGCATCTAGTTCAGTTTAATTCAAACAGAATCTAATCGTTATATAACTATGTACCTTCTTCTATCATGATTATAGCGGTCCCAAATTCAATCTGCTCTACCTATGTCAAAAAGCGTCAAATTATAATATTTTGGGTATAAAGGAACAAAAATTAACAACATTCATCCCCCCACATTTAATTACATGCAAATACAAAAAAAACATGATGAAAAACATAAAAAACAACACAACAATAATTACCTGACACTTCTACAAGCCAATAGTTCAACAACAATGAATATAAATAGAATCAACATCAATAACACATAAAAATACATCAACGCTTTAACTGAAGATACATAAAGGCGTTCAAATATATTTCAACAATTAAAATCCAACAACAACAAATAACATAAATGAAAGTCTATATCAAAGTACAACAAGAAATATTATAACCAAAACATAACTCAGCATCAACAAGAACAAATCAAACAGTAAGAGAAGCAGTCAAGTCAACAAAACCATCTAAGATGCAATCAAATCAATCATCCTATGCATCTCCTTCATCTTTTCTCCTTATTCTCATTCCTTCTCCCGGTCTTCTTCCATAGGCTAGCGGGTGTTCTCATGAGGCAAATTAGGAGAGTAAGTTGGAAAAACAATTGTATTATATTCTCATAACCACTAGTTCCTCCAATACAACTCCAACTGAGGGGCCTGAAAACTATCAATCTAATCGGATTGGCTTTTGTTTCGTTAATCCATATGTGTCACCCGGTCAGCCAAATCATACATCTTTGTCTGGATAATAGCAGTATCAACCTCTATTCTATCGAGATGCTCAACAATTGAAGTCATAGAAGCAGAGGGATGAGGCCTAGGGGTACAAGAATAAGGAAGGGAGGAACTTTCTCCTCGCCCAAAAACCTCATGTAGACTATAAACCCCAATATTTCATTTGGAAATAGGTTTTCAGGGGTTGGAGCTGCTCCTCCCAACTCTCATAAGCAACACCAGAATTTTGGCACAGAGCAAAGACAATAGAAGGGTGACCAAGACCGAATGTAGACCCCCTGTAATATTTTTAATGGAATGATTGATAAGGAATCCTACATCAATGAATTTTTCTGTTTGAATACAGAAGTTCAAAGGGCCCTGTCCTTAGTCACTTCACTTAGATTTGTAGAAAGTAAAAGCTTGACAGATATAAAGTAATGCTAAACTTTGGAAACAATAGTCAAAGCATAAGAAGAAAAATTATTTTTTATATGGTTTCTAACCTTCCAAGTTCCCTTCACAGCAGTCAAAATGTTGATAATTTCTACCAAGTTGGAATCAACATGAGTAAAATGGTTGTAGAAACTATCAGGAAAATCTTGCAATGAATGCAAAAAATTAATTATGGTAAATGAAGAGTCAACTTGCTTCCTTCTAACAAAGACAAAATGAGTTGAAGCTTCAGGCAAATTAGCAAAAAGTTCCTGAACAACAAGAATCATCGCAATATCAGTCTGAAAGCAGAAAGCCTTTCAATCTTTCTTGTCGATAATAGATCCCACAACACCTCCTGGGTTCTTAAAACCTCTACCAAGAATAAATTCATTTGATACCAATAAATCATTGTATCGTTCTTCAGCTTTTGAGGTAACAAATTTCTTGTTATTGAAGGATGATTTTGATTTTCTGTCTTTTACTTTAGGTGTCATGGAAAAATGCAGAACAGATTCAAACTAATGAAGAGCAAAGCAAGCATATTGAAGCTCGACATGCAAATCTTCATGTTTCAATGAGTAAATCACAACAAAAAACTCATATCATAGGCTCAAAACTCATAAATCATTGACCAAACCTAAGATCACAACAAAGAACTTAAAAATCATCAACCCAACTCAATATCTCAACCTAAGATCCCAACAATCACCCAAGAAGAAGAAGGAAAAAAATTCTTGTATAAATCAGAGGTTCAGAATTCCCTTTTTAAATTGAGCAAGTGATGGGTATGACTAAGGATTATATTTAAAAATCAGTGTGACTTAGGAGAAAAATTCTTCCTTATCCCCTTCCAGTGGTCTAAGGAAGAATAACAGTCTTAAGTTTAGTTCCCTAAAACTCTTAAACCGCTCATGAGAAAATGTCTCCTAGAAGATTGCATAAATCCAAAAACAATATGCCTGATTTCAATGAATTCATGTTGTCAACTCTTTTGTCACATAAAAAATCCTTCTGGACATTAATATTCACAAATTTTTTTAACAATCAACTGGACAAGTAAAAGGTAAATTAAGTTTTCAAGTTAACAAAACACTTCTAAACTCAAATTAAAGCCCAAACAATCTCAAATCCTTTGTCATATCCAATCACCATCTCAATTGCAGAGAAAAATAAGATAACTACACACCATTCATGACAAAAATCATCAAATCAAACTTAGTTTTATGCATAAACTTCAAAACCAAAGCCTTTACACAGAAATATGAAGAAAATACAATGTTAAGACACTTATCTCCTTCACAAGTTAATAGTTTGAGAATGTCACTAACAACAAACAATCCCAATCTCTTTGCAAGTTGTGTGGCATTTTCCTCCAGAATTCTCTCTCATAAATGACAGAACAAAAATGGTGAAAAGCCTCAAAATTTTCCTCTCCATGCTTTTTATATTCCTTCCCCTTCACTCAAATTTAGAACTGTCATAGCTGTAAAATTCAGGTTCAGACGTTCGGGCGCCTAGTGACTAGCGCTTAGGCACCATTTACTTGAAAATATTTCCACATAGAACAGAGTCATGGTGCCACGATCGCAGCGCATAGGTGCTAATAGCAGTGCTGAGGCGCCCAATGAACAACACCAACTTTCTATCTTCTGGGAATTTTTGCTCAATTTACAAGAGTTCCATCTCCTAGGCACCGGTGGCTAGAAACCTAGGTGACTAATGACCAAATTTTGCTCCAATCTTCAATCTGATCCAGTTCGATTTTCGTTCGTCCCCTGTCTGCTATAACCTACAAAAACAACATAAAACCTTCCTTAATGTGCAATTTTTATCATATAAAACACAAAAATAGAAATAACAACAATTGCCAAATTATCAACATATCAACAAGTTATTTAATTTAATTCATTTTTTTCTTATAAATCATATAAATGACCTTAAGGCACTAAATGCTCTAGCTATAATAGCTTAAATATATGAATTATAAAAGCTCGCGTTGCTCCAGCCAAAATAATAAATATTTAAATATTGCGTCCGAGAACTTTACGTGGGCTAATCGGGTCGCCTTATCTGTAGGATGAGGTTAAGTCTCATCCCACTAGTTTAATTATCCTCCTCGCGATGACTAGAGTTGATGAGTCTAGTAATTTCAAAATAAATGTTCAAATCCTAAAATAAGAATTTACAGGTCCAAATCACCTAGTCTAATCCTCGTACTTATAAGGGTAGGAGTTTACATGAGTAAGGTGTTTTGTCGCAAGGAGTAAGCAGTAATCGATGGTGATTGACGGCTGTTGACGAGTGGTGGTTGTCAATGGTCGACGACGGTCGATGACAATAGGAGCAGGAAGGGTTCGTCAGATCGTCGGTGCATAATTGATGTTTGACTTCAGCTCCTCCAAATTTCAGCCTTCTTTAGGCTTCAACCTCTAAACCCCCTTTCATGAAGGAGGTAGAACTCTATTTATAATCAATGTTGCAATAAATAAAGAATCCATATCGCTTTTAATAAGAAGGCCAGAGAGAACCTCTCGATGGACATTTTAGTGTCTTAATAATGACATAATTGAATGATCTTGGGCTCATCGAATTCATCATGTCGATACACTCGATTTTACTAGAAGCTTGTTAAATTTAAAATCTGTTTAAACTTTCAATTATGCCCAAAAAAACTTCTAAATGTAGTTTAACAAATTGCTCTATACATAATTTGACTCGAATTGAACTGATCGAGTTGGTCAGTTTGACTGTATGTTTAATAAAATCAAGATTTTGGATGACTCTTAATCGAAGTTTGAACATATCTTACTTAAAAAATTATCAAGATATCTAAGCCCTACCTTGAGATTTGTGCAAGAAGTTGATAATTTGTGGATGTCATATCAAGAGATATTGATAATTCATTATTCATTTTAAAACTTATTAGCAAATATCAAAATAAACAATTATCAATTTCGGTTGTGATCCCACTTCGGCTGCTCTTAAATCCATGTCTGATATTCTTACAAGTTTTTCCAATGGTATCCCTACAAAGAAAGAACTCATAATTCATTATTTTACAAATCTAAAGTAAATGCAGCCAGATTGCTGGGTGACATAGCACATCAATTGAAAAATAAATTAAAGAATTCCAAGAGTCAAAATTTAGGGGCTCACAATGCAGCAAGATTCACTTGAGCTCCAAATACAACAAATTCAATTGCCCCCAAATCAACAAGTTAGCATACAAAAAGAGTAATATAATCATCATCTCCTTCTCTTCAACAACGAGTCCGCCCGCAAGAAAATCTTGTCAATCTCATCTAATTCTGCAATGTTCAGATCCTTCCCTCCAAATCCACCTCTCTTAGCAGCAGCAGATATCCGACGTAGATGCTCCTGAAAATCTTCAGCAGCTCCATCATCTTCTGAAGGAAACCTCTCCAATCCATCCAAATATAGAGGGCGCGAATCTTTCTCCTCCATTCCCCCATCAGAATCCGTTTCAAAAATATCAGAAAGATTTTCTGATTCTGAAAAGGCGCTCGAATCCATCGAGTATTCATCCTCGTCCAATTTATTGCTTCTTAATTCGCTTTCTCGCAGCATGCTCATTCGATCTTTTCTGCTTCCAAATCCAACAGAATTTTCTTCTTCAGGCTCGGAGAATTTCATCTTGATGTCTGCAACTGTGTTTTCTTCTATATTTGCTAGTTTGGGTTTGTATTCATTATCATGCTTCATCCCCAGATGGACATCTTCAAGATCTTGTTCAAGCTTGGGGATATACCTTCTAACAGCATGAAGAGCATCTCTGTACTTAGATTTATCCAGGGCCTGCAAAAAATTTGAGAAATATATTTTAAACATTTGTCAAAACAAACAATCTACATGTAAACTGCATTGGACAACTGCGGCATCAACAAATTTACTAATTGAAAAGAAAATTATCTGCTACATAAAGCGCACAGCAAGCTTGCCATAAAAGATTTGGGTGATACATTTGATGTGATATGAAAGATTTGGGTGATATAAAAGTAAATAATGAAATTTAAGTGTTATATATGTACATACATAAGAATTGGGTGGTATTTATGTCAATGCCCCTAATAACTCAATCCCCTTGGAGTAGGAGTAAAAAGCCTTCAGACTACATGAGATAAAAGCAAAATAAATGCACAACAGATATACAGACTCCTAATGGCATAAATGAAGATTTAGACTCCTGAAACAAAAAAATGAAAAAAAACAATGATCTGAAGATTACTTGAGGTGTGCGGGCGAGCCAATTCGGTTTGATTCAAAACAAATAATTTGAATTACAGATTGAATCAAAATTGATTTGAATTCAAATTAATTTCAGTCGAGTGAACTCAAATCAAATAATTTGATCTGGAGTTAATTCAAAACCAAATTCGAAGTTTAAATTATATTTAATCAAAATTAACATGCATACGGTATATATTATACTATACATATTAGAAGTAGAAGTAGAAGTAGAGGGACAGAAGAAAGGCAAGCACACTAACACACTGCTTTGCCTTAAACCAATGAATGAAAAGCCCATCTAACATCAAAATACAGGAAAATAATTATAAAAAAAAGATAAAAAAATAATAAATTCTAGTATAAGAAATCATATTTTCTACACTATCAAATATACATTTTTATAATTTGAGAATATATGTTAAAAGTAGTAGAGAGAGAAGAGTGGCGTGCATAATAACACGCGTCTTTGCCTTAAACCTATGGTTGAAATGCCCTTCTAACATCAAATTACAGGAAGAAATTAAAAAAAAAGAAAAAATAAATAAATTCTAGTATAAAGAAAAAATCATATTTTCTGCACTAGTAAATATAGTTTTTATAATTTGAGAATATAACAGAATATGTGCAACTAAAATAAGACAATAAACCACTATTTTGAATTATTTCCACTTAGGAGAAAACGGTCCCCAACAGCAGTAGTCCTCCAGCCATTTTTTCATCCAGAAATGCCATCGATCCCTTCCATCAGTATAAGGTCCAATTTTCCTCGATCACTTTTTATAGAAAAAGGGGGCATTTACATAACGAACAATTCTTGTGTATTGACATCTCTCACACCTAAAAAAAAATTTATTTACACATACATATCACTCAAATATTTAATATCACATCAAAAATAGAACTATTACTATTTATAAAAGTGAAACACGCCTTTTGATGCATGAGTTTAAAACACCAAAATGTTATGCATGTAAATTTTACATGTGAGACATGTAAAAACATGAGCATTGTGCGTTACGCACGTAAATTTTAAAAAAAAATCCCTCGTGGGTTCCCTTTAAGGTACATGAGCTTACATATAACAACATTCAAGTGCTCTTCATAAGATGGATGAACAGCAAAGGCCATGTCAAACCGAGCATGTGATACATGGATGAATACAGCTCACCATGTTAACAACATTCAAGTGCTCTTCAATTTTATGTTTGGATCAATTGGAATATAAATTGGTTTGCTAACCATCAATCTTGTTTCTTTTTAATAGACCAGCTGTTTGTTTTTTTTTTTTTTTGAAAAAAGATAATGCCAAATTTGTGTCTCACAACCACCATGCCAAGAAAATATTTTAGCGGATCAAGTTCTTTAAATTCAAATCCCTTAGCTAGCCTTTTTTTTTTGAGATATTTATTTCAGGATCACGATGCCTATCAAAATGATATTTATTAACATACACAACTAATATAGTTGGTTCATCACCAACAAGTTTGTGAATAAGGTCCCGTTTGAGAAGGCTTTACCATTTTAGGAATTCCGTTTAAAAGCAAATTATGAAAAAATTAGAAAATTTTGGTCCGTAAGAAAATATTAGCATTAGAATTTTTGACATTTTTAACTCTTTTTCTTAGGTTTTGATCTCAACGGGCGAACTCGTCATCCTTCTCATTTTCCTCAAATTAGATGCCACAGGTGGCTGTGGTGATGCCTTCACGTCAATTTCGTCGTCCGCATTATTCCTGCACTCAGTGGACACTTCACGGGCCTCCAATAGAAAATTGAGGTATCCTCAGCCCCCTTCGGCTCCTTCGTTGATTTCATCCTCCACCTTGCAAGAAGTATTTGTGATGTTAGAGATTTCCCTAGTTTCGTGCATGATCAGTGAAGGGAATAAGACGACGTTGGCGACGATTTGAGGCCCCCTTCTCTATCTAACGTGGAACGTCGGTCCGAAAGCTTTAGCCTCATCGCGTTCCGAATTTTGCCATTCATGACTTTACGGTGGACGAAACGTTTAGTGAGAGATCTCATCCAAATGACCATTTCTTCGTTTTGTCGTTTTCTTTGCAACGTGACAGAGGCCCGCCGCACTCGCAAAAAATGGAAAAAATATTAGGTAAGGACTCTGGAAGCATCCAAAGTCCAATAGTGGGGCGCCACGTGTCAAGTGGGCCCCACAAATTTTAAAACTGGTCAATCCCAGTGTATTGTAGTGGGCCCACTTGACGCATGACGCCCCACCATTGGACTTCGGACGCAAAATGCGTCTAGAGTCCGGATGTAATATTTGCTCCCGCGAATGAGGCCTAAAATGTTATTTGAATAAGCTATTTGAAACTTGTTGACATACAATTTTAATCAATCTTTCCCACTATAATCTAAGTTGGTGAATGGGCCAATCAAGATTAACTACCACAAAGGTAAAAGCCAAAAATTGTATTTAATTTTGGCCACTGAAGCAAATGCCTCTAAGAAATCAATCCCATAAGTTTGAGTAAATTGTTTTTTATCAAAAGTGCTTTATATTTTTTCAATGGATCCATTAGATTGATATTTGATGGTATATACCTATTTACATTATATAAAAAATGCACCATTAGATTTTCAAACAACTCCCTACATTTCATTTATTTCAAGAGCATTCATTTAATTGTCCACATGCTTCCTTCACTTCACTTTATCACAGGCCTCTTTTATAGTCTTTGACACATCAATTTATGTTGAATTAAAAATCAAATTTTTTATTGAAAAGGACATTATTATATCTCATAATCAAAATTTAAAAAGGTATCCAATATGCTAGCCATGAGGTGCGTCTCAACATGAAGCGCCAAGTACATAACTAGTGGCTTACAATTTTCGAGCATGAATGCCTCAACATAATTTATCAAAGAGTATATGTTTCCAAAATACTAAAATTTTGATTTATCTACCAACTTGCATTAAGTTTGATCAATCAAATATTAGGTCACCACAATTGATCGATTTAGACGTCCAATTCAAATAATTTAAAAAAAAGACATGATGTTTAAAAGTTGAAGTCATGAAAAAAAGACGAATAACGACTCTAATCTAATTTACATCTTATGTACTCTTCTAATATGCTATTCTCTCCCAAATAAATATAAAATTAATTTTAACAAAGCATTCTTAATAATTAAAGGTTTATATATTTTTAAAAATACAATTTTAAGTATTAATGGAATAAGAAAAATAATCATTCATTTCAAAAAGGGGATCTCATAAATTTTTTTAAAAAATAATATACATTTAGTGAGAAGAGAAGGTATTATATATGAAAGGTTGAAAATTATGACAAATAAGAGGTCAAATTTAATTGACGAACTACCTATTTTAAACATTGTATTCTTTTCTTACCCTTCCACAGGTTCCCTCCTTAATTAATATAAAAAAACAAAGATGTACATCATACCACCAAATTCCTATGTATTTACACAACTAAAATCTAAACTGCAATTTCTACATTTATAATACTTTACCTATGCATGAAAAAGAGTGTTTCACAATAGTGGTTTTTTTGAAGTGATATGAAAGATATGCGCGTTAAAAATGTAAATTTTTAGCGTCAGATATGTAAATTCATAATAATTGGGTGGCGTGTATGTAAATGCCCCAAAATCAAATTGAAAAGAATTTTATTTCCTAATTAGTAAAATGCTTAAACTAATAATACTAACATCAAAAGAAAGAAGATGACTTTAATTAATGATCCAACATCAATTATACACCTTTTAAACTGATCATTAGATATATTAAAATATATTAAAGGCTTAAAGTAATTATAAATTCAATTTTTAACTTGAAATATTGTCTAAATCAAATACTAATATCAACTTTATCCTTTAAAACAAGATCATGCTTTATAATCCTTTGCATTATAACAAAAAAATAGCCTCATGAAATGAACAACATGAACATTGTCCCAATTGAAATCATATGTTACACGTATATAGACACTCCTCTCACTACATATTAGGAATATAACTTATACATAAAGGATAAAAAACTAAACCTCCTCTAATTAGGTTACCTAATATACAACCTTCTTAATAAAAAATTTGCCTAATATATAAGCATTATATTTGATATTTTCCATAACACTCCCTCACAAGCTATAGCATAAATATTTATCATGCCCGACATGAGACAAATATAAGCAACACTCGTTCCATTAAGGGCTTTTGTGAAAATGTCTCCTAGTTGTTCCCCAGTCTTTATATGAGCTGCAAAAAACAAATTCTATTGATCTTTTCATAAACAAAATGACAATATATCTCAATGTGCTTCGTTTGTCCATGGAAGGCAGGATTTGAAACAATATGAATTGCAGCTTGGTTATTATACCACAACTTTGCTAGAGTAGTCATCGTAAAACCCATTTCGATCAGAAATTGGAAAACCCACATCAATTCACTCAAAGCTTGCGTCATTGCTCGATACTCAGATTATGCATCAGATAGTGAGACTACATTTTGTTTCTTACTTTTCCATGAGACCAAATTATCACACACAAAAACACAATTTCCAATCATAGATAATCTTGGATATTGCTC